TTTTTTATTCCTATATTTTCCTTTACTTAAAAGAATTTTTTGAATATTTAACAAAGACAATTTGTTTCTACATTTAATCTAATTTTTAGGAACATAGTTTATTATTTTAGTTAATAAATAAACTATACTTATGTACATTTTAATTAAATTATTCAAATACGAAACAAGTCTAATAAAACTTTAATTATTTTTTTCATTAAAGAAAAGACTTTTTGAAAATAAAATTAAATCTATAAATTTTTGCGCGTACATCAAAGTTACTATAAATTTATTACAAGATATCCCTTTTCGGAAAATTAAAGAAAGTTCTTAATTTTGTTTTAAGAAGTTCTTATTGCATATAAATTTTAAAATTTCCTTAAAAATTTTTCCTATTTTTTTAAAACTCTGCTTTTTATGATCTTAGTGTACATGGGATAATTTTTTAATCTTGAATCTGTGCCACGTAAAACTATTTCACTGCTAGATTTTGACCAGTGACCACCAAAAAAGTGTTCCAGCCACAATTCGTAAAAATAAATCTATGTCATTAAAGCTAACGTGACTATAAAAATGTACCCCTTCCCTAAGATTTTTTCCTGCTTGTAGAGTGAAGAGAAATCGTGGAAAGAGTTGAAATGGTGAAATGCTGCTGCCTGGGGAGAAGAGAGAGAATGACGGTTCGTTGTCTGTGATCACCAATCCATAGAGAATGCAAAAGAGATATGCTTTGACATTTGCTGGAATCGAACCCGCGATCTTTGGATTTTCTTTCGATCTTTCTTTTAAGCCAACTTTTGAATCATATTTGTATATCTCTGATTAGGAGTTAGAAAAATTTCTATATTAACCGTATATATTAATAAACGGCGTTATTAATATTGTTCAAGCTCGTTGCATTTAGCGGTACCAGAGTTTTTTTCCTCAGAAACTGGGACTGACCCCATAAATTGAAGGTCAACTCACAGAATTCTACTGGAATTTCATTGAGTTTATTCTTAGTACATTTATTCTTTGGTATTTTCTGATTAAAATTTTGCATATATTACACAACTAATTTTGTCAAAATGATATGAGCTAATTGCCGTTCGTCATGTATGAAAGAATGAAAGTATAGGTCGAAAAAGTGTGTTACAATGAAATAATCAGCCTGTTTAAAAGCCTTGTTAAAATTAAATATTTTTCTTGATATTCATTTAAATGATTTTCATTTTTTTTTTCATTTCATTAGACATCATCTGTTCGCTTTTTAACACTCAGTAAAAATAATTTAAAATGTTAGATATGAAAAAACTTCAGTTATACTGACCTAATAACTGCTACATGTTCGTTATCGAGAGATTTGCTTACATAAATAAATAAAGCGCAATAGGATTTCAATTTGTTGTAATCTCTATATGGTATAAAATCTAGCAGTTCCATTTTGCTTGATTTAATGATACTTGATTAAACTTAAAAGGAAACATGGCTCACTTCAACATGAAGGTTGTTGCAAATTCACATCATATTAAGGTTCAAAGACTTGTAAATTCATTTCTCAAACCATGTTCAATCGTAGTATTATCATGTATTCAGTAATACTAACTTGAGAAGCTTCATTTTACTTCTCAAATTTAAACACATAATGTCTAGGTCAATTTAGAACTAAGCAAGGTTCAATTTTACATCCTATTAAGAATTCTGAAAATTTAAACCTTATAGCAATTAATTTTAATAAAACTGTGACATGTCTCCATAAGCCATCTTAAGTTATAATTTTATTCAAATAGGGTGCTAAATTGAACCAATTTTCCTTTTAAATAGAATATAGTATCACAAAATCAAATTGGAACAGTAAAATAAAACTGTTCATTTTAAAATCCTATTACGTTATGCATTATGACATAATATCTCAACTTATCTTTATAAAAGAATATGTTATGA